TAACAAGTAATTAATGACACTTCACCTAAAACAACCAGTAACAATTAACAAGTAATTAATGATGCTTCACCTATCTAATTAGCTGAAAATGTTTCTACACATACTTTAAGTGGTACTAAAATCAGCTGTCACACCTTACAGCACTTAAACTTTATTTCTAAGACAAAATACCTCAGATCATCCACAAAGTGACAGATATCTAGCATATTAAAGGATTATTTTAATTCAGCAAATTTTTGTGATTAAAAATCCCATTCTGTCAAAGGGAAGGTAATCAAACAAGGAATACCTGCATATTATTTAATAAAATGTTACATATTTTAAATAAAGTGACCAAATTTAACTTCAAACTACAGAGTTTACTGTGTACATACGACTGTTTTTATTGAATCAGTGTTGTCTTCATCCCCCAATGAGGACCACCATTTGTTCCTGAACATATACATAGTTTAAGGGATTGATGAATTCTTGAAAGACTAAATCAACTTACCAAATTAGTTTGTTGTCACTTGTAATTACCCAGTCCAGTGATGAAGAACTGTTACAGATAATGGTAGAAAATATGTAACGATAAAACATCTTGTGGTTTACTCATGGATATACTTCAGGAAATATATATAAAACTTAGTATTCAGCTTGTCCTGTGTTAGTCCTAATGAACTGGTCCTGCTCTGTATCTTGAGGGGCATGCCATTTTAGCCTATGTACAGACTGGAATGTTGTTACACTATAAATATAAACCTGATACAGCATGCTGAATAATTACAACTACACACGTAATATTGGAATTCAGAGAGTGTAAAAAAATAAATAAATGCATGCAGCATCATATTTGATGCTCGAGGTAAATGTGTGTAAAAAAGAAAAGTTAATTCATAATACAGATACCACCACTTTTTGTTATAAAAGAATAATCTTTATTGAAGTTACAAGGTAATTCCTGAAAGTACAAAGGATATCTTGATCACCCTTAAGTATGCCATTTCAATGTAATGTAATACTTACTTTCCAACTTGATACTAACCTGAAATTTATTTTATTATATCTGTTAATTAAAAGTCCACATTCTTATCCGTTCTGTATATTATGATTCCAAAGATAAAATGTATCAGATTGTGATCATGTAAACACTAATACTTAGTAATTATTAACTATAATGTCAGTGACTGGTATTTACGTGAATAATGAAATGCTTACTTAAGGGAATCAATTAATACTTAAGAGATAGACCTAAATAACAATATATCCTGAACAAAAGTTTAGTTTATCTATGTACAAAACTAGAAGAACATCTCAAATGTTTATTTCCATTGCAATAAAAAAACAGTTTCTATTTTTGTTTACTTTTACCAAAACTATTAAATTGAAGGATAATGTTACTTCTAAGTTGACTTTTACTGAAAAATATTCTGTATTTTAGACAACATAATATCACCAGTAACTCAAGATAACACACAGAACGTAAACCTCACGAAAAGAGTCAGATAAGGAAAACATAAAACAGAGAAATATTTCACAGGGCTTGTTGTTTCTCTTGATTTAGTTTTCTTAACTCACCTCAACTATCCAATGTTTTGCTTATGAAATAGTGATGTTAATAAATTTAAAATTTGAGATAATATCTGCAGGTTTAGAGAAAACTTAGTTTTATTTACCACAAGCCCTGTGCTGCAATCAGTAACAAAAGAATCACCTGCTCTAACTGAAAGGTAAAAATAGTTTGTTAATACTATTGAACAAACAAATATCTATAGGATTTAAGTTAAAAACTACAGACTTGTATCACTTTTTCTCCATTGCAATAGAAAGTTCAACAAAAGGAACATTAAAGATTATTATGGACACATATAATGCCCGAAAGTTCCAAGAGAGAACCAGGCAGATCTAAGACTAAACGTTACAGGAAGTTGAAAACCCCCAAAAAAAGCAAAGATCCGAGCAAATTAAGCACAATAACTTTTTATTGCAAATATTAACTCTTTCCTACTTTTGTTGTCTGCAACTCAAAGCAAAACGATTACACAAATGATAAGAGGTGTAAAAAGTATTTAAATCACTAATATTAACAATTATGCACTCAATAAATCTGACCTGACACGTACTTCTTGTCTTTTGTATTCACAGTAAATATTTAATTGGCTAAAATATTATTAAGACATTTCTTTTAACCAAGTGACTTTGAAAATTTACCAAGTTAAAAAAAACAGGTTAATTCAGCTGTCAATTAATTTCAGAACAAATAATAAGAATCAAACATACGAGAATTAGCCAACAGTAACTGATAAAAAGTTTGTACGTACAAAACAACTCTTAAAATAGTGTAAAGTTTAAAAAAACAAAAAAAACTTACCAGTTTAACAGTTGAAACTTTTAATAAAACAATTTATTTCTGTGTTTAATAAACATAAAAAACGAATCCCTAACTCCAGAAAAAGTGTCTGTACAAATAATATTCGTAAGAAAGAAAATATTGGGTTACAAATTTTGTTTCAACAGTTACATTCCAGCTTATTCAATGTTGAGTTTACTTCTTCTGCAAGCTTATTACACCTCCTACCACTGATAACCAAGTAGCATAAATTAGCCTTACATAGCAAACTATGGCAGGAAAGGGTTAATGGAATATTTCAATCATAAGATAAACATCTGTTCCAGTAAGATTCGTTCCATCAAGTACAACATGATACAACCCACTGAAAAACATTCCAGAACCTGAAGGTTATGGTTCTAACATTTAACAGTTAATTTGCATGATTCAAGCAGAGAAAGACTGAGACAACAACAATGTTTTTCATCTCTTATCACAAATATATTTCATCGCATTAGTAGATCTAATGGTATGAATCATCTTAATCAAGTACAATAAAAGCTGGATTATCCAGTATTAAATAGAAGACTCGACTAACCAGAATTTAATATCTTCCCTATACAGTCAGTTTATAAAGTGGCAATTTGGAATGTCTAGTGAAGTAAAAAAAGTAAATAATAACGTTTATGTTACATTAATGATTATAAAGTAATAACATGAGTAGTTTTGAAGAATAACAACAAATGCCAATCACATCGTTTTATTCACTTCCGTTCATTCTAATGAACACCTTCAATAATGTTCATGTTTATTATTGCTTAACATTGTTATCATTATCAGTACTGTTGAAATATTGCAGATATAATCTCTTTAGTACCAATGTTAGTTGACATTGGATTAACCAGCACCATCTTGGTTGCCAGATAATAAAGCTTTTATTGTACTTACAAAAACATACTTTTTATTTCAATACCAGCAATGGGTTTAAGAATTTATTAGGGTTATACTCATGTGTCTTTTAAAGTTAATATTCACTCCGAGTACCAGAGGGCCCACAATAAATTATGTTTCTTCATCTTTAATGCACCCTTCCCCAACATTCTGATAAACCTAGCCTGCATACTTGAACAAGTATAAGTCAGTAGCTTCATTAATTCTTTCTGTAAGACAGTCTATCCAAATGGAATACTTTATAAACCATATGTACACTATTAATGTCCAACTTTACTGGTTTTCCTCCACAAAGTAGTTTAATAAGACTCTTATACATAAAAACTGTTTAAAATAGAAAGTGGTTAAAATTAATTTTATTTATCTAAGTTAAATCACATCCACCACAGGAAAAACATTATATTAACAAGTTACAATTGCAAATAATTGAAACACTAATCTTAGTTTAATTCAAGTATTATTTACACAAACACAAACACACACACAAAACCAAAAGGTAATCAAACATTCAGACAGTTACATGCAGTTAAATTAAAGAAAAATAAGGATAATAATAATTCTTTGCAGTACCTAGAAATTACAAAATTCTTGGAAAAATACTACTTTGAAAATAAACAGGAAGAAGTTATAATTTGTTTATACTGAAACTGTATTTCTGATATATAGCTACCTCCTCTCGTATAATAGCTTTTCTCAGTCAGTGCTGCCTTCTATTTGCAGTTTTTGCTTGCCATAAGCCCGAATACTCCCACGTGTTTACGCGTGGTACAGCTGTGCCGTAACATGCAAGTAAGCATGCGACAACTCTCCACCAACAGGAGTGTGACAAACCCATCTGGTGTGGCAGACTCCCTCTCTACAGTAGAACCCAATATTCACTTCAAGATTAGGCAAAAAAGAAGCACTGGAAGTGGAAAGTATGAGCGGAGGTATCTATCAGAAATAAATTTTCAGTGAAGGAAAATTATAACTTCCAACACAATACCTTTACCTTACTTCTGTTCACATTATAGATAGAATCCCACAGTGAACTGGTAGAGGGACCAGTGGAAAGATATAGCTGGATGAGCACCCCGTGGAAAGCATCCGAAGCAAGCCCGTGGAGTGTGAAACATCAATGTAGGGGGGGGGGACATACTCGAAGGAGACTACACCACATCTGTACCAAGTACATTCTTTGCCCGCTGTGAAGATATACATTGCTAAATCAGGCAGAAAAGATGCACATCCAATGCATAATTGGACACGTCCAATGGTGTAGGGTGGCTAGGGTGCATTAGACCATATTTGGTGGGTCCCTACAGTCTTCACCTCAAGACTAGGAAGCAGAAGAAAAAATAGCTTCCATCTTTTCATCCTAGCCAAAGCATGCTCGTGCAGACCCAGTACATAATCAACACCAGGCCACAATGGAACCCAACATCCAGCTGATGGTAGGAAGGAGAATGTAACGTGGTGAGCCAACTCCAGTCCAAAACCTGGCAGCATTTGGAAATGGGTCCCTACAAGACACTTGTGAGGACTTATGTTGGTTGGTCCTGCTGTAATCCAACACCAACATCCAGGTAGTGGTAGGAAGGAGAATGTAACGTGGTGAGCCAACTCCAGTCCAAAACCTGGCAGCATTTGGAAAAGGGTCCCTACAAGACACTTGTGAGGACTTATGTTGGTTGGTCCTGCTGTAATCCAACACCAACATCTAGGTAGTGGTAGGATAATGGTTCCCAGCCAGAGAGGTGAACTGTATATGGTGGATCAACTCCAGTCCAAAACCTGGCAGCATTTGGAAAAGGGTCCCTACAAGACACTTGTGAGGACTTATGTTGGTTGGTCCTGCTGTAATCCAACACCAACATCCAGGTAGTGGTAGGAAGGAGAATGTAACGTGGTGAGCCAACTCCAGTCCAAAACCTGGCAGCATTTGGAAAAGGGTCCCTACAAGACACTTGTGAGGACTTATGTTGGTTGGTCCTGCTGTAATCCAACACCAACATCTAGGTAGGGGTAGGATAAGGGATCCCAGCCAGAGAGGTGAACTGTATATGGTGGATCATGTCCAGTCTAAAACTGGGTGGCATGAGGAATTTTTTCCATTCTGCAGTATAAGGAGGGTTCACACCATCTACACCAATAGAACACCACAACACGACTCTCAACTGAGTGGAATAGAGCACACTAAGGAGGATGCCTCCATGGGCCACTCCCCCAGCAATTAGGAGCCAGTAAGTGCCAAGGACTCCAATAATCTACTCGGGGAGGTAGTAGTCCAGAGGAATGCATTATTGAAGAAAGTGCAATGGGTGACCACAAAACCCTATTTTTAAAAGCAGGTCAGTCCCAGTTCCCTCCATCATGATTGGAGTGATGAGCACTGTGATAGTCCACGAGTTAGTACGATCTGGGACAAACTTGAATTATGAAGCAGAACACTGAGAAGAAACCTCTAGTGGTCTTGTGGAAAACCCCATCTCAACAGACAGCATTAATGACTTTAATAGCCATATCATGCAGATTTATGGATTAATATACTTGGACAGGCACCAATCTCCACAGATTGGGATCCAATGAGGAAAATGTGCCCCTGTAATACAAGTAAAGAAATAGAAAACTACCCATTTACAGGTGAATTGAGATGTGTGTAGAATGGTGGTATACAGTATCCCGAGGAAGAGGAAAGGGCCACATGATGAAGATAATGAGTGATGAAGGTGTGTGTGATGTGGTACACAAGCCAGCCTGAATGATATCCTGTATGGGTGATGAAAATGGGCAGCCAATGAAAGGGTGAGAGGTCAGATCTGGTGTAAGGATACCCAGAAAATATGATGAGTATCGGAAGACAAGAAAGAAAAAGCCAACTGAATAAGTTGGAAACCTAATCTGTAAGGGTGACAGGCAAAATGTCTCGTGTAGAGGAAGAGTTCTAATGGATAAACAAGTGGGAATGAGAACCACAGAAGGAAGCCATGCAGGCAACATAATACCAGAGAGCACGAACAGGACAGAAAATATTATCCGGATTGGAGCTGGAAAGGAAGGAAATAGAAGTAAATGTGATGTCCCCCTTCATGAGCTGCAAACATATTGGAAAACAAATACAATCTGCATACAAAAGAACATAGGTGCAGTGGTAAATAATATGTGAAATGTTGAGGGTGAATATATCCAACCAATGATGACCACAAACAAATAGGAGCAAAAAAAACAAAAAAAACTGATTTTCAAGGGCAGGTGGTAAAAGGAACTTGTAGACTAGGGTTCGAAAGGAGGTTGGATAAGGGCACGCTGAACAACATTGAGGTCCCAACCCAGAAGGGTCATAGGACAAGATGGATGAAGAAGCAAAAAGGAGCAAAACAAAAGGGAGAGGACAAGAGAGTAAAAAAAAACTCTATGGGAATGGAAAAAACAGGAAGTACTGGATAAGGCTGCCCGATAACCAGCAATGGTAGAGAAAGATGAATTATTGTCAAACAACCAAGAGAAAAATGTGGAGACATCAAGAAGACCAGGATGGGAAGGGGAGGTAATTATGGCACAGAGACCAATGGAATAAAAAACATCCCCAATAAATGGGGGGTAGGTGGGAGCATAAAGACTAATGGTAAGCAAAAACTGTGCATATAGAGGGCAGAACTGAACAAGAAAAGCTATAATGTGAGAGGAGGTAAGGTATTGTATTGAAACACCAAATGCTCCTGCATTCCTGATAAACCGTACACAGAAACAGTAGTAAGCTAATGCAATGTATTATGACTGTTAATATTGTTGCCATGTGTAGTTTAGGCATAACTAAAGCAAGCATAAAAGCAAGTACTGGTTACAAGGCCTAATGCAGGCTTCAAAATCCATGAACTTTATAATCTTTATGTACACTTTGTAAAAATAAACTTGAACCAACTAACTTATCCTCTCAAAACTTTAATGTAGAAAAACTGTGGAATTTAATTTACACGAAAAAATAAAAATGTAACATATGAAAGCAAAATTAGGCATAGACATTACTAAGAAATCTTCATTCTGAAGCACACAAGTGTTCAATTTAAACATTGTACAGACTTGTATCAGAAAACTATTTATCAGGTTTTGAAATTGCAACTATATATTTAACTTAACTGAAATACTTCTAACGTTGGTCAAATATGTTATGCAGTAGCATCCTTTACTTTGGATAGATATTTGTAAAAAGATTGTTCGATTAATTGTTTCGGCCAAATGAATGTTTAAAAAGGTTCTAAATGAAGTTTTGTGATTGGCTATTACAATGATAGATGTAATTACTGTAGAAATTAAAGCAGTAAAGTCAACAAAGGAAACCACCACGTGATTGAAGTATTTAAAACCAAATTTTGATCCTGGATTAGGCCCTGTATATTGTCCATTTTATTAATGTCAGACTTGGGCATTTTATCAAATATAAAATAATAAATCTTTTAAATGTGTGCTATAAAAAGACTTAAATTGTTCCTTATATAAATCAAGAATATGTTTCCCCTGAAAGAGAAAACAAATAACTACAACGATTTAGACGTACGATTAATAATAAAAATAAATAAACAAATTCAGGATTCACACGTCTCCGTTACAGTAAAGCTATAATTTTGTTTTTTTACGGTAAATTTTTACTATTATTTACAACTGAAGATCTTCTTGTACATTCATTTAATTTGGGTACATATTCTTGACTTGTTATACATGTATTTATAAATCTACAATATGTGCTGACAGAAATGTTTATGAAGTAAACAATTCCTACTTGTTATGGAAGATTACTTCTAACCTATTTCTCAATATTTTTTTGTTAATTATGCACTGTATTATGTGTGTTAAGTCTATCTGTCTGAAGCTTAGTGAAAATTGTTTTCAGGCATTTCATTTTCTGCCAGCACATTTTGGCATTTTAGATATCAAGAAAGAATAATTCAACATCAAGCATAATGAAATCCATGCACTCTTTGAGACACCTCGCCCCAAGATTCATTGGTTCAGAGTGCCATCTGGAAGTAGAGAATCAATTTAGTACACATTCATTAAAAATTTTCTTTCATGGTTTACCGGGTGATCAACGTCCCTCTCTACTTCTGTGATGCCAATAAATAGATTTTTGTTAATTTTTATTTAAGATATTAGTTTTTCTTTTAGAAATACATTAGAGTAACAACTTTTCAATGTATAATCAATTTCTGATTCCCCTCGTCCACTTTTGTTTGTTTTAACAACAATAATAATAATAGGATACTTTATGGACAGTTATCACCCAGTATTCCAGGAGGACATGCTGCAAGGCATAAATAATTTTGTGTGAAAAAATATTAAACATTAACATCTCAAGTGTAATTAAAATAAAAATTATGATTTTATACCTATCTTATTCCATAATGTCTATCATCACACTTCTCTTGGCTTTAAATATTAGATACAAATTCTTATTGATCATTCTTTATCATAAAAGTGAAGGCACTTAATTCTTTGTATACTTATAACAAGAGCTTGCAATAAAAACTATTTTTTGTATTATAATCAATTCTACAAAGGCTGTTTTATGTTGTTTCAAGAGTCCTTAATTCACAAAACACTGAATAAAATCTTTAAGTAACATCTCTTTGGAATTTTTAACCTTGAACCTTGTTAATTAATACTGAACTTATTAAATCTCTTAAAATAACAATTCTATATAATGGTTTGCTTTTTACAAAAACAAAGAAAATCAACCTATAACATTCCCAGCCCATTTTATATAAGACTAATTTAGCTAAAAGTAAAACACATACACAGATTTTAACTTCAGTAAATACTTCACTCTGTAGATCTTATTTATCATACCTACATATTTTTACAGAGTATTTGTATAAAAGATTAGAAATAAGGCAGCTCAAGGCAAGGATGTACTAATACTAGAAACCCTAAGCATTTCAATAACTACATATACTGCTAATTACCGACACAGCTAGTGGAAACATAACTAAATAACTTAATTAGTGTTTAGGTACTTTTAAGTGATATCACAAGCATCTCATTTTCAAGGTAAGAAATACAAAATGGGCCTTAACTCTAGTAAATTAATATTTTTTCATCTGATAAGCTTACTCAACTGACTGACTGCCTAAATTAAGTAAATACAATAACTAACTTTAAAAAACATTAATTCTATTACTGTTTAACTTGTACCGCTAACTGAAGTAAAGACTTAATAAACAGTTTGAAAATGACCTCAACTAAACTAGAGATTTTGTCCAGAGTAAAGTCAAATCTGGATTAGATATGCATCACTCCCAAAGACAAGGTAAAGCCAAATCTGGATTAGATATGCATTACTCCCAAAGACAAGGTAAAGTCAAATCTGGATTAGATATGCATTACTCCCAAAGACAAGGTAAAGTCAAATCTGGATTAGATATGCATTACTCCCAAAGACAAGGTAAAGTCAAATCTGGATTAGATATGCATCACTCCCAAAAACAAAGTAAAGCCAAATCTGGATTAGCTATGCATCACTCCCAAAGACAAAGTAAAGCCAAATCTGGATTAGATATGCATCACTCCGAAAGACAAAGTAAAGCCAAATCTGGATTAGATACAACTTTTCCCCCATGGTTATTTTCATATTGTTTATTATGTATTAAATACATTGCTGAAAATAAATAAATAAATATTCACTTATAGAGACAAGTGTTTGTACACTTGTATTCACAAATATTATAATACTAAGCTCTCACACTCTTTCATCACAGAGTACCATAAATACACATTTTACAAAACAAATCACAAAAAATAATTAAATATTGTGTACTTCAAAATACTTTGCATTCCTTACTTCTACAGATCTTTTTCTAATTAATATATTACTTTGTATATGCTTTTACTCCTCAAGCTAGTATGGAATGGCATTCTAGTCGTAATACGCTATAATCCGTTTAAAGCATCTTCTATTCTAGTCTTAATACGCTATAATCCGTTTAAAACATTTTCTATTCTAGTCTTAATACGCTATAATCCGTTTAAAACATT